AAGGAAGCAGGTGGGAGCCTCGTTCTGTTCACTGGACAATCAGCTTCCATAAGAAGAGAGAATCAGTTTAGATATGCATGCTAGCAGCATCCCAAGATAGAAATCTGAGTCATCTCTGTCTTCTTACAAATTAAAATTTGCTCAGAGCAGGGTACTGTGTCTTATTACCTATGTATTCTCAATCACAGAGCAAAGTATCTACATAGTGTAGGGACTCAGTAGCTATTATTTGTTTTATATATAAAACAACCCAGTGGTGGACAAATGCATGCTACGACTGAGCTCTACTTTTATCTCAGAAGTCTCTCTGATGGTCATCCCTGAGGCCTCCCAACCAACAGCACAAACAGAGGGCTTGACATCAGTAGAACGTAGACAATTCTGATAGAGTTTCTGCCTCTGGCACCTGCAGAACAACTTGGACATTGCTCGGCAGTCACACCTGCGCTCCCTTGGAGCCCCTGTCGGTGCAGTGGGTAGTCTGTAGCCAAGCATTCACCGCACCTAATTCATAGCTTGTATAACCTTGAGTGACAATTTCTGAACCAATGATGCTGTCAGGGGAGAATAAAGTTCCCCCTTCCAAACTCAATTAGGCTACATGATCCAGAAACATTTCACCAGTGGGTTTATATCATGCTGCAGGGAAACTGGAGTTATTTTGTCAGGCAAGTATTTACCACAACCAGTTCCACTAAAACAAGATGGATAGCCATATCTGCCAACAAAAAATGATGAAAGAGATGGGTTTAAGATCCATAAAGGAAGAAGGAGGAGACAGAAGTTTATTTTTGATCAGGTTTGCTTTCTGTTTGCTGGAGAGGTCCAACGATCAGTTCCTAAGTGTTTTTCACCCAAGATGTCATAGGGATTCCTAATGCAGTTTTTCCTAATTGCAGTGTAACTGCAATTCTGAGCAATAAAAGACATAGCATTTTAGCTGGCGAGGGTGGGGGGTGTGTGTGCATAAAACCTTTACAGTCAACTCACAGGGGGCACAGACATGAAACATAAAGCTTTCCTCTCTCAGTTTTAGAATGTGAGATCCTGGGTTAGGAAAAAAGAGATCAAGAACGAGATTAAGCACAGTGAGATTGCCTCCTTATACAGTTATATTATAATTAAATAATGCGTTCAATTTTTAAATGATTATACTAAGAGAATGAAATCCATATTTAACTTGAAGGATCCTGATCATATTTTGATCTTTAATAACCATGAAAAAATAAGGTAAGATCTGATTCAGGCTAGTGAGATAAATAGTTGGAGAAGCTAGGGTCCAGTAGTTGAAATCATTTCTAAAACTCGCATGATAAGACACAGAACCAGACATCATGCTGAACTGTAAATAACCACATCAAACTCCAAGGCTGAAGGACGTTTTGCTGCTAACACAGATTCTGCATAAACCTAGATAGAGAATTTCATTGCAATAGAGTATGGTGGTGAGGCATTGAAGCCCTATTGCTCCCGAGATAAAAGCAAGATGGTAGAGAGCCCAAGGGCAACCCCGAGCTATGAAGGGAAGCCTATCTCAAAACTGACAAAGAAAACAAACGTATTAGCTTTAATAAAAAAGAACATTCAAGAGTAATCAAGTTTTGCATCTTTCTCATTGTTTAATGCTTCATGTTTGTATCTCACTCTGTCAATACTGAAATCACTGAGCTACACTGTTAATGAAGAATTGACTCAGAAAGATCAACCAACTCTTCCTGGTCAAGCTGGCCTCCTGTAAAAATTGTCTCATAAAGTGGGATCTGGGGTGGTTATCTCAATGGTATAGTAGTAGCCAGTGTGTGTGAGGCCCAGGATTGCTTCCCTAACACGAGAATCTGAAGATAAAAATCTGGCATGAAGTCCCCATTGTTGCTCCAGACGATGCAGTACAGCCTCCAGAAGGTGACAACACAGCGTAGTGCTTCAACTTAGCCCAAGTAGGCCAGAGCAGAGGGCGGGCATGGTGTGGCTCAGAAGACCTTGACGGCTTTTCTACTGACTTTTGAAAGGCTCTAAAGATAACTGTCTTCACTGGAACAGAACAGGACTGTTCTCCAGAAAGAGGTTAGCTTACTGAATTCCGGGGAACTCGTCACTAACACCCCCTAGTACTCATTTCCACAGGTCCTACTTTTCTAACTCAAAGCCAAGCTGATTCAATTTCCTCTTCACACAAGCGACAGAGAGATGCGTCATTGGTCCTCAATTTATGAACCTTGACAGATGGCATTGCTGATCAATCTTCATGCACCCCTTTCACGTGTTGTCCTATCTGCCCTTCTGTGCCGTCCTTTTGGTAAACGGGCATTGTGGCAGCTAAGCAGATGGAGCAATGGGGATGCACTCGATGGTGAAGGAGAAAGGAAACCATTTTCACACTCGGTAAAGTACAGGCTCCGCAGGAGAGGAGAATAAAGCCAACTTAGGATGAGTGACACTTGAGGGCTTGAAAGGACACAGCGACCTTTGAAAGATGGACGTTAAGGGATGTCTCTAATGGTAAGAAAAACAGAGAAACAAAAGAGCGTGCCACGGGGAAACAGGTTGGTTTTTTTTGTCCCGAAGATATGCCAGTGTGAAAGCAACGCACAAGTCACTCATTATCACCTGTTTGGGGCTCAGTGTGAAGAGCAAAGGTGGACTGTAGAGAGGAACAGACTTCAAGTAAGCAAATTCTGCTTCCAATCTGGCTATAATACTCAGCAAAGAGCGACGCGGGGGAACTGGCCTCACTGGGAAAGCAAGGTAACTAACACCTGCCCCACAGCACCCTGGGACTGTTGAGCATAAAGACAACAAACAAACCTATGACGGGAAAGAGATGTCCGGGAAGCACTGAAGCTGCTGTGCATCTCTGCCGTAAGGACGTCCTCTAGTGGGCGTGGCCGCAGGGAGAGGTCGTGATTGAGAGTCAGAGAACTACTGAAGGTTCCTTTGACGTTTGGAAACACTAACTCTGGGCTAAGAAAAGCACATCGCGATTCTGTTCTTCTCACCCAGGTTGCAAATGTGCTATATGGAAACACAGACACTGAACTCCCTAAAACCAGCATTGACCTGAAGTGGATCTGAGTTGGAGGCGAGGCTGTGACTAGATGGCAAATAGGAAAGAAAGTTTTGGTCACGGCCAGCAACTTCACTGTGCGATGTTGGGACAATTATATTCTTTGAAGATGCACCTCCCAATTATTTTTTTTCACCTACAAAATGGGTGAATGAATATGCACTAGAATTTCCACCTTTTAGGGTCAGGTGAATGTACACAGCACAATGTTCCTGGTCCAGCGCCTGCTGCATGGCGAGTAATCAGTACTCAGTGTTGTCGTCCCATTTCCCCCAGTTTGACAGTGAGACCTGCCGATGTGTGTTTTCTCTGTTCCATTTTGCCTTGCCGATTGTCCATCACGTAGCCTTCCTGCTCGGCCAGAGCCGCCTGTGCCTAAGCCTCCATTGAAATGCTTATGCAAACTCTACCTTTCCCATCATATGTCTCTATTTTCTAATCTCATCTCTTAGTTTTGCCTGTGTTAAAATTATTTTATTGATCCTATTATGGTCTCTGATGAAACTTAGCATGTCAACATTTATGATTCCCAACACGGTTGCCTAGCCTGAAGTCCTCCTGGGTTCATTCTGAGACCTTTGATTTCCTTAAGGATTTCTTCACAGCAACACTCAAACAGAATATTCAAAAATATTTGCCACGTTTTATTTTCTCAGATGGAAAAGAGTTAATGCTATATGAGGGGTATTTGAAAGTAATTAGTATGTTTTATGTGCATGTGTGTGTGTGTGTGTGTGTGTGAGAGAGAGAGAGAGAGAGAGAGAGAGAGAGAGAGAAAGAGAGAGAGAGAGAGAGAGGCAGATATTCAACTTTTTTCTCCAGTCATTCTGGCTTCTCTCTCCCTTCCTTTTATAGAAGGTTTGGCCCCTCTTGCCTAGTGAAGTTCCATTTACCCAGTTAAACAGTTAAATGCCATCCTTTCTGAGCATCCTCCAACTACACATAGCCCTCTCTTTCTCCTTAGCACCAAATGAAGGGGTTCAGCTTTCCTCGTACACACTGACATTTTGTTTATACCACTAGGCACTTTTGAGCCATACTCTCTTCTTTCTGCAGGGCCCCGAGATCAAGCACTGTGTTTCCTGGTAACTGCATACATTTTGGTGGAAGGGGGAGCTGATCAAGACCAGTTTCTCCTGGTTTCTTATTGGGTTTTTCCTAAAGTGCCCAGGGTGGACCATGCAGTACTATTTTAGAAGCGTGGAAGTGGTTCAGATATGTGTTGGAACTAGAGGAAAGATATTTTATTTCTACCTTCCGTTCCCCCCCAAGTCATGTTACTACTTTAAATTCTATCACAGAGACTTCCATTACAATCTAAAAACAAAAGGAAACAAAAAACAACAAAAACCCAATATTCTTTCCACACTGCATTAGAAAGGGATTAACTTTGAATAATTCTTTAGCAGTACACAGAGGACATGATGATATATTGTTGCTTCTTTTCCTAGTAAGAGTCTTAGGGAGATATTTTGTTATTGTCTTTCTCCATTATGACTTATGGGATATTTTAAGGGAAATTCTATGTTAAGGTTCCAATAGAGATAGCCAAAGCTTTGTGACGTGTGTAGTGTAATTAACTCTTCGAATTTTTCATCCTCTATCCTTTTAATTGAGGCAATCACATTGACTGTTCAAAGTCTATGTAGCTATTTAAGGTTTTTCCAATACCCTGGGCAGTCATAACAGGTGTAGGGTGGATTAGCATTGCCCACCGAGGGATGGGAATCCATGAAGGAAACTGAAGACAAACATTGCGTTTGTTGAATTCAGGTTGCTTCTATCTCAGCACACATAGCTCCACTTAAGTTGACCATTACAGCAAAAGCCACAACACACACACACACACGTACACACACAAAGAGCAGCATGGAGCTAACCACACGACTCCACAGATGATGCAGACAAACTTGAGTAGAAACCAAGATTGTTCTACCTCTTTTCATAACAGGTTAGTGCTGGCCCTCAGTGTTGGTGTACAGTTTTTATGGCATGGGAAAATAGGGATGTTTCTGCCCTATAAAAATAAATGTGTTGAAGTCTTTAGTTTGAGCTCACACAACGTCAGAAAGTTCCAAAGGCGTTGGCACAGTACAAAAAAATAATAAAAGAAAAATAACAAGAGAATCCAACAAACAAATATATATCACCAAAACACATGGCAAGAGGGTAAGAACATTCTAGGAGTAAAGCGACTAGTTTCTCAGATTAATGCAACAATTTCCAACACCGTTGTGGAAAATAACGCATAAGAGCGAGAAACTCGTGGGTCTTTTTAAGGGTAGGGAGATGGGCTAGCTACCAATAGCCACTTGACTTTAAACTGTTCAATTGAGCATTTTCTCCTTTCAAAGGTTGAAAGCACAGAACTTTCATTGTCTTAACTTTTTAAGCATAATGAAGAGCTGTGGGCAAGAACAAAAAATAAATGCATGCAACTATCGTTAATAGGGAAAAGGATACATGGAACATAGACACAGAAAGGAACTGATTCCTTCACTGTATGCATCATGCTATACACTTCTTTCCAAACCTGAGTTCAGCCCATGTGGTTGTTCCTGCATGACAGCTTTTTTTTCTACTCTATAAAGGGTTGGGGAGAAAGATAAGTAGGAAGCAGGATTATGGGTTTAAGTAAAGACAATACTTTTGGCGTCAAAGAATGCAAGGTGGCCAATGGGGCCTAAAAACAGGGAAATTTTCACTGGAGATAAGGACTCGTAATTCCTCAAAAAATGAAAACTTACCACATCCTGTGCAAATTTCTCAAAAGATGTTCTGCGATCCATTGAGTTTCCAGACTTAAATGTGTGGTGTGGGGTAGGGTGAAGGGGAACAAGGAAACATTAAAAAAAAAAAAGCAAGAAAAACAGAACAGAAAAAGACAGGATGGTAAAGTAACACTCCACTGGGGCCATGGATGAAACTCATGACCACATGGCAATGGGACTGCCACGGGGCTTCTCACCACTGGATCCAGGTTTTTTGTTTGTGAGTGACTTCATCATAAAACCCCAAAATTATACGTGAGCAAACAAAGTGATGCAATTTAAAGCAAAATTAAGATAAGCAGAAATGAGGAAGATACGGTAAGCTTTTATGCTGACAGTTGCAGAGCCTAAATATCTGAAAATTTGGTGGAATTTCCTTAGAATCAGCTTCTAATTTCTATGAAGGTTGGATTTCTACAGATAACATTAACTTGGTACAGACTTTCTGTAGGCTAGACTTTGCTCAAAGGACGGATATCCGCCTTGATTCTGTCTCTTATCAAAGCCTCTAGCTGCAGTGACTGAGCACAGGGTTTAAAAGACGACTTACTTTGAAATATCTTTGTTCTGTCCTCCGTCAATGAAACTTATTTTCTCTCTAGTTACCTGAAGTTCACCTGAACTTCAGAGAGCCATCAGTCCTGTGGCTCTAAGCGGTGAGATCATGTACTGACTGACTTGAGTATCTTCAAACTTGTATCAGTTGGCTATAAATTTGTGTACTTTTAATTAATTAAAATGAATTTTAAACATCAACAGTTGCCACATTGGGCAGTATAGGTACTTGCAATGATTTTTATCTGTAAAGGCAATGGGCTATGAAAAAAAATCACAGTATTTTAAGTCATAAATTAACAGAACTGTAGCTTAATCATAGAAATTTAAGAATCTATGGGTTTCTTAACATTAAAAAGTAATGAATAATGTTGATTTTCTCTACATGTTTTTGTTTAATGTTACATTGATCATCTAAGGGATTTATGTGTCATGAGACATCAATTACAAACAATTAATGAAGTCTATCACTACCACCAGCACTACTATTATTGCTCCTACTACTACTTCCCAAATGTGTGTGCTTGTCATCTTAGTTGGGAATAGGTTATCAAGATACTAAGTAGTTTGGGAGATAAGTAAAATGAAACGATTCATCTGCCAACACTTTTGCTGTTTAGCAGCTATCTTTGAAAAAAGTAAGTTTCTATTTCTCTACAAACATACAAACGCTGGCCTTGTAAGCAAACACAACTGCCTTCAAGTTTCGGCACTCGACTTATTTCTACTTGGAGTTTTTCATTTCCTTTAACCAGAAATACTAAAGATTAACATCAAACATGAAAATAGCATCTAATAGGCTTTGTAAAACATGAACATCTGCCAAAGCAACCGAAAAATGATACACAGAGCAATCAACAAACAGAAACAAAACCAACTTAAATGGCCCTTAGAAATGGATGGGCGGGGAAAGGTCTTAGAGAATGACTACTTACCATGTTATTAAAACCCTGGCCCAACAGAGATAGTTACTTTCCTTAATTACAACTAGGAACTAAGGTCAAGAGAGGTCACAAAGAACCAGTACCTTTCGCTTTGCCTGTAGAAGTTCCTGGTAGGCACTAGATCTTATAAAGCGGGGATAGGAGTCACTCTTCATCAGTTTGTAAATGTGCTCCTGGAAAGAGAGAATGGGTAAGGGGCTCCTTTATCAGTTTAGTAAAGCATTGTAACGAGGAGACTCAGGTGCTAACAAACAAATGCAGAGCTTCAAAAAGCAACTGTAGTGCTGATAAGAACATCTAGTGTTTACAGGACATTTGGGTTTTTCAGGCCATCATTTCTTTCCCAGATCAATGTTTACATTGGGATAGGAGCTACTCTGGAGGAGAAACCATATGTTCTCATTTTAATAATAGAATTTACCCAAGAGGACATAACTTCACATCAGTATGACAATTTATATGGAAACTTTGAAAATTGAAACAAATCTGTAGACTCCGAGTCCAAAGTGGATAATGTGACGTAAAGACCGTACAGCCATCCTGGAGACTCTTGGCACCTACAGCTGCTGGGTGAGCCAGGCAGTTCAAGTGGATCACACTCTTGGGAATCAATGCCATGATAGATTATCTTTTACACCTACTTTAACTCAGAACACAAGCCTGAAATTAGTTGTTGGGTTAGTGAAAGGACAAATTTTCCAATGTTTGTTTTTTTTTTTTTATATGGGAATCTGTTGGTCATCCATTCCTAATGAGTGCAGAGTTCTCCCTCTCTCTCCCCTTTGAACTGGGGGTCAAGATTCATGTATTTTTGATAAGGGCTTTACTGAGGAGCTACACCCTAGCCTCTCTTGTATTCTACAGATGACTGCTGATGGACGAAGAAGTCAAGCAAGCAAAGAACACATGTCATTTAACTCCAACATGATCCAAACCCGGGAGGTTCTGCTCTGGTTTAGGGAAACTTATATGTTCCATTGTCTTCCAAATCTAGTGAAATAGCAGTTAGTTGTACAGCTATGCATGATGATGAGAGTGTCCTGGATGGTCCATGGAATTCTCATGTACAAACACTAAATTTATATTTTAAAAAAATCCCCAGGGGTTTAAAAGATGACTTACTTTGAAATGTCTCTGTTCTGTCCTCAATCAATGAGACTTATTGAATGTCCAGTTACCTGAGCTGTAAACACTCCAGAGAGCCGTGGGCCTCATGGCTCTGAGAGCTTAGACTGTGTGCCTACCTGAGCATCTTCAAATGTGTATCTTCCTGGTTCCTTCACGCTCTGTGTGGTCTTGTCGTAGCTCTTGGAATCCAAGTTAATGGCACTGGGGGCCCCAGGAGCCAGAAATTCCTGCCATATTTCCTGCACCCGAGAGGGTACTTCTCGGATAGGCCTTTTCTTCAGGTCCTCCACTGCCAGCCAGAACCTACAACACACCACAGGACCTCTGAGCCCCGAAGCCGCACCTGGGCATTCTTGCAATGTTAACTCACTACTCTAGCAAGCTCACTCTTTTTGGGGATTCCAATATCAGGCCCCCACTAGCTTTCTTTTTCTTTCAAGACTCATATTCAAAAGCATAAATGTTAGTTTTTGCAAGTTTTATGCTGTGGGATAACCCCTCCGCATGCTGTGACTATGTTTAATTATCATTGGTTAATAAAGTAGCTGATTTGGCCAATAGCCAGGCAGAATAGAGCCAGGTGGGAAATGCAAGTAGAGATAAGGGAGAAGAAGGGCAGAGTCAGAGAGACACCAGCAACTTCTGGAGAAGCAAGATGTGAGGTAACAAGCCATGAGACTTGTGGTAAAATATAGACTCACAGAAATGGGTAAATTTAGTTGTCAGAGCTAACTAATAATAAGCCCGAGCTAATAGACCAAACAGTTTGTAATTAATATTAAGCCTCTGAGTGATTATTTCAAAAGACCTCGGGACTGGGTGGGACAGACATTTACAGTTTTGTTTTTAATTTTAAGATAGGGTCTTGTATAGCTCAGGCTGGTCTTGACTTTCCTAAGTTGCTAGAGATGATCTTGATAAAGAAATGTGATAGGAATATAATAGACAACTCAAGAAATACATGTGTATATACATATATAAGACATATTTAATATCTATGCCTGCATGTTCCTAAATGGGCCATCCTCTTTAGTTTTCTTTTACTTTCACTTTCTTTATTATAGGTGAGTGCATGTGTGTGTGTGTGTGTGTGTGTGTGTTTGTGTGTGTGTGTGTGTGTGTGTGTGCGTGTGTGTGTGTGTGTGTGTCTGGTGGGTTAATATAGATGTGCTTGTGGGAGTTCAGTTTTTTTTTCTTTTCTCTGTGGATTTTTTTGAATTATATCAACAATCCAATCCAAGAACCACAGATTGAACCTAGGGTCTCACATACGCAGAACTTGCTGCACAAGTTCTTTACCACAGAACCACAGTCCACACCCCACCTTAGATTCTGAGTGTCTTTCATTGGTTTGGAGTTTACTGAGTTGGTGAGACTGGCTGGCCATTGGGGCCTGGATGTCTTCCTGTCTCCACCTGGGTAGCACTGACTGCTGTGTGATGCACCGTCACATTCAGACTTGTTTTTCACATGGGTTCTGGGCATCAGATTCGGATCCCCAGGCCTACAGAGCAAGTCCTTGCTAAGCAAGCCATCTCCTCAGCCCTAGACTTCTTATATGTGATATCGCTTGGGGAAATTAGTCCAGCACAGGGATAATTAAACATAAGAAATAGCAAAGGTGTAACAAAAGTAAAGACTTCGCAGTGACTCAGTTCCTCCCTGAAGCCCAGTATTAATATACTGCACTACCTATGTCTTTGCTCTCTGATTTTAGACAGGATGTCTCCTCATCACCCGCTCTCAGCCTGCAAGCCTCTGTTAAGATGTCTGTGGTGGCTCTAGGTGAGCCACCTATTCTCTTATCTAACTAAGGACTCAGCTCCAGCATCCCATGGGGCCACTTGTTTTCTTGAAAAGTTTACTTAGTAAACCCAACAAAACCCCCAGGATTCTCCAAACCCCACAAGACAACAAGAGAGCATACTCAAGAATCCATGACAGACGGAGAAAATGAAAAGATTCCAGATCTGACCAGAGTCATCCTGCCTCAACACTGAGGCATCTGTCACCATTATGCATGTTTCTGATTAATTCCTAAAGAGAACGCAACAAGTAGACTTTTGCTAGCTTAGCGCTCATGAAAAGAAATAGATGCCAATATCCTTTTATAAATGAATTTCACAGAGCCTAGTAAGACACGGCAAAGAAAAAAACAGTATATCAGGTTTCAAAGAACAACCAATGGAGAACCTCACCAGAAAAAAAGGGGAGAATTTTTCATGTAGTGAGAACATATTGTTTTAATCGTCTTAAGCAGATCTATGAACATTCAAATGCCTCCTATTTAAAAAGTTTGTCCTAGGTGTCCCTTGAGTTAGGAAATATTACAGCAGATCGGAATGTTGAGGACAGAGGGGCAGAACAAGTGCCCTGGCCTCTTTCTCTGCACCCTGCATCATTAGTCTCAACAGCCCTGCTGTGCCTATTCTTAGCTAAAGGCTGAGGAGCCATCCACAGCTCTACTGAATCTAAAGGCACACAATTAAAAAAATAAAAATAAAAGCTTTCCTTTGACTTTTGTTCTAAGGTCTTTGAGACATTCACTCTCTTTCTTACGGGAGACAAGCTGTTGGAAGTTAATAATGATAGGTGTTGATGTTTTTTAAAATAACCATACAAGTCCTATTGATCACTGTTAAGATTGAACTGTGAAATGCCCCACAAAGGGGTTCCCCATGTCTTGAATGCCTGGTCCCCGGTTTGGTAGTGGTATTTTAGAAAGCTGCAGGAGCCTTATCATTTAATAAAGACACATGATAGGCATAAAATAGACAGTTTAAAAATACATCCACCCATACACACATATAATATTTATGCATCCATGTTCTCTGCTTCCTAGATCAGCATGATGTGAGCAACCCTAGCCTCCCACTCCCACTGCCATGACCTGAGTTGCTCTGTCATGCTTTCCCACCATGAAGGACTAAAATTCCCTGAGTCTGCATTATTATGTGAACAGTGACTGATAGAGACCTTTTCCATTTTGTCAGAATATCAGGCTTGGGATTGTAATTTTTTATGGTGTCAATTTCAAAAGTTTTACATTTATGTAGTCAACAAATCCAGAGGAAGTGCAAAAATGAATTATGAAAAGGAACTGATAATGCTGGATAACTTTTGTCTTGCTTTCTTGCATCTTTAGTGTCAGAAATGAAATTTGTTTACATCATTTTGTAATAATACGAGAGCAACAGGTCTATTACATCTAGAATAACTAGAAAAAGCAGTGGCTCTTTAACTCATAATGACAAAATGTGTCTTACCTTAAGTTCTCTGAGCTGAATTCTGATTCTAGAAACTTAAGGAACTGCTCTCTTCCAACTGGGTCTTTCAATGCCTCATCCATGCCAAAACCCCATCGTTTTACTCTCTGTTGACTTGGTTCTTTGCTGTTGGAGAGAAAATGAGACTAAATATATTCTTTGTATTACAATTTCCATTTGGGGGGTGGTTGAGGTGGGGCAGGGTCTCACTGTGTGGCCCTGTCTTACCTGGAACTCACTGTATAGACCCCTGTTGGCCTTGAATTTACAGAGATCCACTTGCTACTGCCTCCCATGTGATAGGATTAAAGATATGTGCCACTATGCCTAGGCAAATTCCTCTTTTCTTTATCATACATACCTTAGAAGAATGACTATCTTTAGCTTATCTTCTAGAATAGTAATATATCACTGATGATATACTTTTCATGAAATCACGGGGAGGTATAAATTAGATTAATAACACAATCTGTAACTAAGAGTCTGGACAAATTCATAGCAACTTTGAGAATGGCATTCCCCCTCTCATTTTATGTAGATGAAAAAGCTGATGCATAAGCAGTTATAACATGATACTTCTATATGAGAAATAAGGGGCAAAAATCCAGCTATTATTACCCAGAGCCTTATTTCATCCACTATACAGTTCCAGTCTGACATTAGTCATTCTTGTAATGATGCATTTGTACCTAAAAGGCCTCATTTCTACATATGACTCTGTTACAATTAAATATGAACAGTATTTAGTCATGGATTGGGGGGTTCCAGATTCCTCATATATATGTACAAAACTTGTGACTGAAGAGTGAATTGGTAAATATTTGAGATCTATGGCTGGATATAAAAGAGATGGCTCATAAATACAACCTGGAGCCTTGTGTGATATCACAGGTTTGTAGTCCCAGTGACGAGGAGTTAAGAGGTAGAAGGCTAAGGAGCTGGGTGTCATCCTTAGCTACATAATGAGTTGAAGGTCAACATGAGCTACAGGAGACCCTGCCTAAAGCAAAACGAAACAGAAGTGCTATTGAATACTGATACTGCCTTTGTAAAGATACATGAAACCACCTCTGAATGAGCCTCAAGATGGATGTTGCAACTCCCCACATAGCTCACCAAAGAAATCTGGAGTTCTAAATTATGCTTGGGTTTTTAAAAGTCAGTTTCTCTGTATTCATGGTGAGTTTATCTAGTTTTAAAATGAGGTTTATATAGGCGTGTTTGTCCTGGGCTTAACTGAGTGAGGGTTTGGCATCCATTTTACCTAAACACAAGCCTGTACGACTAAAAGCATTTTCAAATGATTTATTAGCAGGGGTTGAGTCTTAAAAAAGGAAGGATTTGAACTCTGAATAACTTACCTTTAAAATGTCACCCCTAATTTTGGGTCAGTTCTTTCTTTCAGCAGTATAGATTTGTTTCAAAAATTAAAGTTTTAGAATATATAAAACTCACACACACGATATTCTGGAGCATGCATATTGTGTAATGTTTAAATCAGGGTAAATACATCTTCTCAAGCAGCATGTCTCTAAGGTATTCAGGATCCCTTTGTCTAGAGTTTTCAAATACACAACACATAGATATCAGCAGTCACTCTACTTCAAACAGCATACTAGAGCTCCTAGATCCCATGCAACTATTATTTAATGTTCATTGATCAACCTTTCCTTATGCCCCCTTCTCTTCTACTTTTCCTAACCTATGTAACCACCATTTACTCTCAGCTTCCTGGTTTTTTATATTTTGTAAGATCGTATGGTTCTCTTGTTTCTGTATGCCATTTAACTCATATAACATAGTGTTTTACAGTTCCATCCAGGTTGCCATGAATGACTAGATTCCATCCTTTCTGGTGGAAGAATGATGTGGGATTTCCTCTGTATGCTGTGATTACCATCAATAAATAAAGAAACTGCTTTGGACCTATAGCAAGATAGAACTTAGGTAGGTGGGGAAGACAGACTGAATGCTGGGAGAAAGAAAGGTGGAGTCAGAGAGAAGCCATGTAGCCACCAGAGATGGATACTGGAACTTTAGCCAGTAAGTCACAGCCAAACAGCGATATACAGATTAATAGAAACGGGTTAAACTAATATGTAAAAGTTAGCCAATAAGAAGATAGAGATAATGGGCCAAGCAGTAATTTAATTAATACAGTTTCTTTGTGATGATTTTGGGGGTCTATATGGCCAGGATATGAACAAGTGGCCAAGTGGCCTTCTCACTATAGAAGAACAGTGCTCTAGAAGCAGGCCAGATCTCAGAGTGGAAGCCCATGTCTGAAGTCTCTTTTTGACTAAGAATGATAAATTATGGATGCTGCAGAGCAAAGCAAAACCAGCTCTACAAGAAGTCAGTTCCTAACTCTACTATGTCACACGCACGCTCTTAAGTCACTGACATACTTGAAAGGAAGAGACCGTATCTTTACCTTGCTTCAAGTTCCCAGAAGGTAGTATCATCTGAGAGCCAAGGGTTGGAAGGGTCAGGTGGCACAAGAAACGGGTCATATTCTACATACTGTTCTGTATAACTTAGTAGACTAGGGAGAAAACAGAGGGAAAAAAAAAACATTTTCAGCTTCATTTTTCAACCTGAAACAATACTGTGTTCAAAGTAAGGGAAACAGCATGAATATGGATGGCCAGGGAATCCACATCTACTTACAGAAAGAAATCCAACAGCAATTTCTACGTTTCCACATCCTGCATGCAACAACTTACATCTGGCAGGCAGATGTGGTTGAGGATTCCTCCTTCCAGCCTGAATGTGGAAGCGAGTATCCTCTTGTAAAGACTACATGGCCAGTTCTGCCTGAGCAGTAAGTACTGAGTGACATTCCCATCCTGGCTAGCTAGCACATTCCTAGCAGTGCAGATGGTGACCAAGTTGGAGAAAGGATTGGAAGACAAATCTTGCCTCAAATATAGATAGGACTCACTAGCTAATATTTTTTAAAGAATCCTATCAAAAACAAAAGGTAAGCAGATGGAGTAAAGTTGGAAAAGAATAATTGGGAGACTCGTTAAGCAAACAACATATATTTTTATTAAGAATAGACTTTTATTTTCTAAGTCACTTCCTCTGTGCAAGGGGAGGGAAATGAGGGATGGTTATAATATCCCATGTTTGTTTATGTTTGTTAGCAGAATCCACATTGGAAAAACATAAGCCACTAAAAGTATTTTAATTCACTGAAAATATGATGTTTTATTTTCACAAACACAGATTTTTTAATTAAGAAAAGGTAAATCTAAAATTGAGTTTAATTCAAGTTCTTAACACATAGAAGAATTCATTATGAATTTTAGTGAATTTAGAGAGTTACCAGGTTGCCAAATAGTAGACAATAAATTAATAGGTTTGTTTCTACCAGGTGTGAGAAGAAGCCACTCCCATCAACCGGATTCTTGGTTCCACAAGGATTGGACTTCTGAAATGTTAGATAATCATTATTCTATTGTCTTTAAACTATGACGAGAGACTTCTTCAGATATTTTTTCATGGGCAAAAATAATACAATATAGTCCAGCAAATGTTTCAACATTTACTTTCACTGGCCTCCAACCACCTGGTTACTATCTTCAACACAGCTGCCATATGACATTTAAAGTTTATAGCATGGAACTGGAGTGATGGCTCAGTGGTTAAGAGCACTGGCTGCTCTTATAGAGGACCTAAGTTCGATTCCCAGAATCCATATGGTGGCTCACAAACATCCCTAACTGCAGTTTCAGGGGATCCAATGCTTTCTTTTGTCCTCCATGGGCAGCAGACACACACATGCATAGACATACATGCGGACAAATCACAAACACATAAAATAAAAAGAAACACTTCTTTAAAAAATAAGGAATGTATTGATACCTTAAATGCTTACCTATCAGCAACTTTTGACATTTTTAATCGATGTCTATCTAACTGTATTTGCCAGTATTTTATCTGAAAAGAAAGTTGAAGACATAGTTGCATAAACAGGGCATCTTGATTCTCTACTCTAAATTCCAATTCTCGCTGAGTCCCTTCTAGAAAAAAATCTAAAGCTAGAAAAATGCGAAAGCAGAAAACTCTGAAAGGGTTGAAAATACATAATCTATTTGAATGTAAACATAACCAGTATAACTTTAGAACAGCAATGCATTTGATTTCAATGCTTGCTTCAAAAAAATGTAACTTTATCTGAAAAGTGCTATGTTGGGTTTTAAACATTCTTGACAAACAACTAGATTCAGAATCCAATTACTCTGCAAAGATTTAACTCATAAAACAAATGGAGTATTATTGGTTACCATAATTTTAAAATAAATTTTACATCCTTGTGTTATCCAAAGAAAGGATTAGAATTATGTATTTTGAAAGTAATTTTATCAGCTCGTGGCACATGCCCATATAGATATAAATACACAATAAAACTACTTTAGAAAAGAAACCCCGAACTACTTTTTCCTGATGGTAATTATAGATACAGCATAAAAACTAACATTAACATACTGATAAAGCACAGAGCAGTAAAATATTAGGGAAAATAATCAAAAGTGGAGGATCATCCCTCTGATTAAGTCAACTATGATTTGATAGGAGACTTTGGCATTGGCTTTGAAATATTTCTTGGAGACAAATTAACTTTGAAAAAGGAACATGCAGATCATGATGACACACGAGGACTGATCATGCCAAACCTCAAAAAGTTAGAGAAATTAGGGCTGCAGAAACAGAAACGCCCACATTCTCTGGTGATCATATCAGCTCATGTGGGAAATAAGACTCTGTCGCTAAGCTGCTGCCCACTCCTTTAAGGCACAGCTCTAGGGTACAGAGCAACTCTCAAGGCAGGTGCATGGTTGGGAAAAATTGTCTGAAGGCAAAGAAGGGAAAACTTAGTGAAGAGTTTTGAAAAGCATTTCCATGTATTATATGTCTCAAGGATCATGTCTTAGAATCAGATCAATGCACACACAGGACTGCTGGAGATTAGCCCCCAAGGTCTTGCACAGGCCAAACAAACACACTTCCAACTGAGCTTACTTCTGCCCCTTTGTTTAACATGTTGTTTTGTTTTTATTTTGAGACAGAGTCTGTGCTCAAACACAGTTCTCCTGGAAACTTTGATCCTCCTACTTTCAGCCTCTGCAAGCCGGGATTACAGGCATGTGCCACCATGACTGGCTCCCACTACTTTTCCATTGTAAATCTCTATGAAGCAGTTGAACATAAAAAGAACCTTCCAGATTCCACCCAGAATGAATGCTCATTCTCTCCTCTGCGTAGCTGCTGTCCCACGAACCCTCAGTTGGCCATTTCACAGGTGGACGTACCTGTTGGTGCAGCTCATCTTCTGTAGGAGGCTTGGTTTCTGGTGTAGGTGTGTGGGTAGGACTGTGGCTTCGGATGTCATTTTGTAAACCATAGACTGACTATAGTAAAATAAGAAAAGGGTCAGGACAAAATATCCCTGGTAACCAGAGACTGTCTAAAAAGCACATGCTATCGTGTATTCAGTGAACTACTAAAAATTAATTTCATGATGTTTCTTATCAAAAATCTAAAAATCAAAGCAGTAGTAGAGAAGAGGAAGGCAGGAGGGATAAATATCACCAAGGATACTTGAAGAATAAATAAGGAATCATTACTTTATATCTACCTAAAATTACATATAATACAGAGAGAGAGAGAGAGAGAGAGAGAGAGAGAGAGAGAGAGAGAGAGGTTGTATTCTTTGGAGTAATAATGTCCACAACCCCCAACTGTGTGCTAGACAAACTGAGCTGACATACACTGATTCTTTCTTTCCACAGCACTTCATTGCATTCCACCACAGGTTTCTGCCATCACTGATGGCGTGTGAAAAGCTCTCCTGTTACTCTTGGCTTTCTGGAAGGAAGGCGGAGGAGGCTCAGCTCACATATCAACACAGGCCAGTGCTAGAAGGGGGGGAGCAATGACCTCAGCACACCCAATTTCCGTCTTGTTTACCTCTCTGCTCTCTTCTCCCAGTGGTCCTACTGCTCAGTCAGCCACAGGAAGGGCATTTTGAATAATTCAGGGAGAAGCGGGAGCACAGGGCCCTGTTCAGAGATCTGACTGACTTTTGAATTCTGTTTGGCTGCACTAGTGGAGTGAGCCGAGGGTTCGCCAGGAGTAGATGAAAGGAACCGGGAATGTCTACACAGCTGGGCTCACTGTGGACTGCCTTTGCTCTTTGTCTCAGAGAGTTCCGAGTGGCAAAATCCTTGCTAGTTGCATCTAAATGGACTTTGTGACTCTTTCTGTGGCTTTCCTGTTCTAACATAGAGGGAAACTACCTCAAAAGAAAAAGTACTTGGGCTATGTTGGGATCTTTGAAGGAAGAAAAGAACAACATGAAATAAGGTTCCTAAACCTCAAAAAAACAAACAAACAAACAAAACCTTAGTTTTGGTTCATCTTCATGTAGAAGCACCTACTATAGAAGAATGCTGGAGTTACATGGGGCTAAAACCACAGAAAAGAAGGTCTTCTGAGGCACAGAATGCTCTTTGTCAATGATACCAATTTCTAGGCTATTCTTAGAATGACTGGTGCTGGCTAGAGATACTTGTGTGTATGTGTGTGCGTGTGCTTGTGTGCATGTGTTCTGTGTGGGTGTGAGTATGCTGTGGGACAAAGCTTTTTTATCCTACCACTTGTATAATTTGTAATAAAATTCTGATTGGCCAGTAGCCAGATAGGAAGTATAGGCTGGGCGATGGTGACCAGGCAAGAAGTAGAGGCATGGCAATGAGAATTATGGGAAGAGGAAAGTTTCAGTTTGGGGTCATTACCCAGACACAGAGAAAGCCAGACACAAAACAAGCAAGATGTGACTGCCTCGCTAAAAAGGTACCAAGCCACGTGGCTAACACAGACAAGAATAACGGGCTAATATAAGTTATAAGAGTTAATAAGAAGCCTGAGCTAATAGGCTAACTAATCAGTTTATAAATAATATAAACCTCTGTGTATTTCTTTGTGACTGAATAACTGCCTGACCAGGCAGGACCAGGTGGGACAGAAAACTCGGTCAACATGCTGGGTGTATGGTGTGTGTGTGTGTGTGTGTGTGTGGTATTTATATGGTGTGTGTATGGTGTGCGCATACATATTTTTTACAAATGAGAAAGCACTCTTTCTTCACTGGGGCTGGGAATGGTCAGTGGTGGAGTGCTTGTCCAGCATCTGCTTCACTATATATAATCAGGTGTGGTGGCACACATCCTTGATTTTAGCACTCAGAAAGTGGAAGAAGAAGGATCAAAAGGTCATATTCAGTTACACAGTGAGTTCAAAGCCATCCTGGGACATGTGAGACTTTATCACATAACAACAAATAATTAAAAGCAGACATTCATTTCCCCAGTAGCTTTCAATTGCCAATAGGCCTCAACTACATGTTACTTTGTATGCCCTTTCCCCATCCATGCTGAAATGTTAGCTGGTTTGATCTTGTACAGTCATGTACATGCTGGCAGAGCCACTGTGAGTTTCTGTGTGCAATGGGCCTCTTCTGTTTTGATGATTGTGTCATAGCAATCTTACATTCTTTCTGCTCCCTCTTCTATGATGATCCTTGAGCCTTGGGAACAGTAGGGGATAAACTAATGTCTCATTTAGTGTTGACCACTCTACAATTTCTTGCTGTTGACTAAGTGAAAGCCTCTGTATTAATCTATATCTCTTGCGAGAAGTTGAAAAAGAAAGCGTAGGGGGTAGATGTGATCTAAACATATTATCCACATATACACATTTAAGGATTCTCAAATAATATATTAAAAAATAAAAAAATAACTTCTCTCAAAATGGCCCATATGGTAGCTTGAATGTAACTGGCACCCCCATAAGTTCATAGGGAGTGTCACTATTGAAAGGTGTCGCCTTGTTGAAATAGGTATGGCCTTGTTGAAGGAAGTGTGTCATTGTGGGGGCAGGTTTTGAGGTTTCTTTTGCTTAAGTTTCATTCAGTGTCACAGACCACTTCCTGCTGCCTGCAAGACATAGGATTCTCAGCTACCTCTACAGTCCATGTCTGCCTATATGCCACCATGCTCCACCATGATGATAATGAACTGGCCCTCTGAAACTGTAAGCCACCACCTCAATTAATGTTTTCTTTTTAAAGAATTGCCGTTGTTATTGTGTCTCTTCACAGCAATAGAAACTCTAATTAAGACAAAAGTTAGTGCCAGGGACTGGGGTACTATGATAGGCCTGACCATATTGTTGTTGGGAATAATACGGACTTTGGGACCTTGGGTTAGGAAAGCAGTGGAATGTTTTAAGCACTGCTTAATGGGCCATACTAGTAGGAGCATGGGAGACAGTGGTGCTAAGAGTTATTTAAACTGTGTGGTGTTGGCTCAAGAGATTTCAGGGGGGAAGAATATTAGCATATAGACTAGAGGTTGCTGTTGTTATATTTAGGTGGGGAATGGGGCTGCTTTTTGCCTTGGTCCAAAGAGTCTACCTGAGACTAAATTGAAAAGTTTTATATTAATTCCCTTGGCAGAGGAAATCTCAATATAGACTCTGTTATGTGATTATTAGGGACAACTCTAATGAAGACATATAATGAAAAGAAACAATCTGAGCAAATAAAAGTACAAAATGTACAGATTGAGAAAAGGAGCACCAGGAAGTAGAATAGAGCTAATACCATGTTCAAGGAGATAAATGAATTAAGAAATTGAATAAATGGAGTGGTGACCTCAGGGCAAGAACCCACCCAGCTAAGTTTTTAACTTGTGAAAAGGATTTCAAGAAAACCTTAGAGCAGAGTGTGGTGGTATACCCCTTTAATCATAGCACTAGGAATGCAGAGGTTGGTGGGTCTCTGAGTTTGAGGCCAGCCTGGTCTGCAGAGCAAGTTCCAGGACAGCCAAGCTTAGGCAGTAAAGATTACAACCAAAGGCAGAAAACTGGTTAAAAAGTTACTGAATGAGGGAGTCAAGTTTCAGTTTCAACAAGCGCAGAACTTGGCAGCTTCAGTCACGGAATTCTGGAGTTAAGGATAGAAGAAAGGGCTATGAAATTTGTCCCTAAGACTAAGGGAATTTGTCCTTAAGACTAAGAAAAGCCGCTGTCTCCTGGAGATGCCAGGAAAGCTACACCCACAAAGTCTCAGCAGCAAAGTTGTCTAAATAGTTCCTACAGAAAGAACAATTAAACAAACTAACATGGAAAGGGGAAAGCTCATGGAGGCCTCAATCTCAGACAAAGAACTATTGGCAACTATTGAACTCCCAGAATAGGAGAAAGACTCCCCAGGAAAGAGCACACTAATTGGTTATCCCATACCAAATGGTCCATCCTGAAAACATACCCATAAAAGTAACATTATACAGTCTGAGCAAGTTGTACTTTTATATTAAGGAATGCACACACACACACAAACACACACACACACACACACACACACACACACACACACTTTAACAATTTAAAAAAAAAGGCCAAGGATTTGAAAGAGAACATGGGATGGGAGAAATTTGGAAGGGTTAGAAAGGAAGATAGGGAAGGGGAAATGGTGTAATTATATTATAATCCCAAAACTATATATATGCTATTTATTATATATAATATATGCTATATTATATAATTATTAATTATGACATTAATCAAGATATATTCAATATGTCTATTAAAAAGTGATGCACAGGCACAGTGCTACATAATCAGGACAGCTTTTCTCTTGTTGCAGACTGGGAAGTGCTGCCCACACCTGTGGCTGTGTCACAAAAATGCTGCTGCTAAGAAGAGGGCCTCCTACTCTTTCTGTAATAATCATATTTTAGACTTCCCCCTTCCTGAAGACAGTCCCTCCATAAATACTATATTTTCTCATTGATAGCATCTTTCCCCACCAGCTCCATCTCCTGTACCTGTCTGTTAGTCTCAAGGAGGATGCTACCCTGTGATGGAGAATAAAGATTAGCTTTTTTCCCATCTCCCGTCACAGTCCCATGGCATCACCCTTCTACCTCCAACTGTGTTGTAGAGCAAGGCCCTCCAAGAAACATGGCAACCATTTACAGAAACTCGGTGGTGGCTGCTTGCAAGAGATAATTACCAGTGAGCCTGCTGACTGTCGAGTCCTCTCAAAGAGAGTGGAGGGAGTCACAGTACCCTTATCTGAGATTCTTTCCTGTACCACTCAGCCATTTGTAAGCAATTTGCCATGACTGCACTTAGACTCTTCCAAAACAGGGTCTTTGGAGATGCTAGAGTACCCAGGCTGGGAAAGTTAACTGAGGGAAATCCATTTATGTAGTCATGGAAAAGTTGTCATCCATACTGGGTGGAGGACTCTCCAGTGTAAGTAGATTCTCAACCATGTTCTGTAAGGCAGCCCAAAAGATTGATTGGTTCTCCAGGGCAAATTCTAGTGGGATGTACTTTGGTTTGCCATTGGGATCTTATAAGGAGAGGTATATGTTGCTTACATCGACCTAGAAAAGGAATTATCAGGGTAGAAACCCAGGGTGAAGTAGGCTCATGACGTGGTAGAGGGTTTTTTGAGATGGACGTGTTGAAAGTAGATACTTCAGCAAGACCACAGGACACACATCTATTTACCTTGCGTGTTTTGTGTGGGTTTCTCATTCGGGATGACTTCTTAATGTCCACTTCTGTGGTATTTACACATCCAGGCTGGAAATGAAGAAAAGACAAAGGGAGTTTTAGGTGTGCCAGTGCTAGCAGGATAATCATTGGTGAATTGCTCTGCAGAGTTTGAGCAAATGTCACCATGATTGGGTCACCTGCAGTGCCTCCGAGGTGACTACTAGTTGCTTTGAGCAGCAACCAGTATGGAAGTGTCCTGCAGCTGTCTCCTTCTGGTGAATGTCTCCAGAGCCTCAGACAACTTCCAGAGACATCAAGGCAAAAGGACTTGGGCTTGGTATGGAAAATAGGTATCCATAGTGACTCAAACTGAAGAGTCTGAACAAGGATGTCCAGGAAGACTAGTGTGATGTCCTTTCTTGATGTCCATGCACAGTATCCTACAGTGTATATCAGCATTCCACAGGGCAAATATACCTTTCTTATGCTGCTTTTAAGTGGCACTCACTTCCCCCAAAGTGCACAACTAACAGAGTATTCAGTTGAGCCAGCACAAATCCCAAACTGAATTCTTTTTTATGGTGATTAAGAAATCTGTTACCCGGAATATTTGCTTTCCATGGAGAAGGTAAGGCCAGAAGCAGGAAGTCTACATACTGTACCTTCCCTTTAAGTTTCTGGCTTTCTTTTCCCTTTCTTTCCAGTCTGTAAATTCCTTTTTGACAGGAAGTTGAAAGGAGCATGGGATACCTACTGCTGGCCTCCTGACATACCCAAAAAAGTCTCATTTGATCAAAATTCCAGTTCAGTTGCCAGGAAACAAATAGACAAATAGACATAAACTTCTTTTGTATTTGGAGACTGAGAGGGGAAGTGGAGGGAAGAAGAGAATGAGGAGCAAGACAGAGAATGGTTCAGGGGTCCTTTCCTAAAGCAACCCCACCCTTGGGTGATTTCAGGCATAGGCAGAGGAGCACGAACCAGAGAAGAAAGGAGTTTCAGAGGTGTGGAGAACCTTAGACCGGAGGAGAAAGTTTGCTTATGTGAGTTGTGTTTCCATTCCTTGAAGTTTGGGGTACACTATTTAGATAGATCTGGTATTAAATTAAAAATACCAAGTTGTATAGATCTGACCAAATTTTTTAATTTTTCCACTTACAAGCTTTAAATGCGTATAAAAGTGACCCCAGGGACACTCTGAATGTGGTATTGGGATGGGTGGGCAGAAAGGACTGGGTTGTTCTCCGTTATTGCTGCTGATCTGCGAGGAATCATTCTGAGTAATAAGGAACATAAACCATTCTCAGGGAGCCCTCTCACAACAGCTCAGGCATTGCGACAGAACCACCACAAGGCAGAAAAGCATAAGGAAGTTAAAGAAGACAATTCATTATTCTTTAAGAAAGCTTATATTAAACTAAACACAAACACGTCTACATACAACACTACAAACACTAAATAAAATACATGTTTTTTTCTCTGGGTTTTCATCTTCAGAATAAAAAATTTAAATGTTAGGGGTCCGTGAGTTGAGGCGCCTCCATGGGGCAGCAAGGCAATGACCCAATGACCCATGTTCAATTCCTTCTAACTCACATCTGATTCATTGCAAGTTGTTCTCTGACCTCTACATGTATGCACTGGCATGGCTACACACACACACACACACACACACACACACACAATCAATCGACAGTATAGGAAGAAGAAAGAGCATTGGCTGTGTGAGACTAATTTATGGGCACTGAGCAATTTTCTCAAATTGCTCCCATCACCAGGCCGACCAATAACCCAGTGTTTTTATTCATTCTTTCTATGGTGTGTAAACATTAACCTCTTAAGAACAGAAAGGCCTGCTGATTTTTAATATTTTTACTATTTGGCAGACTTCACAACCATTGATCTACTTGTAACCAAGATGCTTTAAAAAAATGTTAAAGCCTTGTGTTTTTATTTCCCACCAGTTTCTAGTACGGTGTGGTCATTCTTCCCTAAACTGAGCCGTTAAAGAAAAGGCAGTCACGGCACTTTTAAAAGTCTACTGATATAATATTGATCAATCAAGAGCCAGCGAATCCAGGGAGACCACAGATAGTTTCTTAACGATATGTCCTGGGAATGACAACACATGAAGCCCAAGGAAAGGAAGCCATGGTATCTGTCTTTCATAGGAAAAAAAAATCCAAAATGAGAATACAGGAGTATAGATATACCCAACAAGTACGGTTCCTGAAAACCGCTTTATCCCATGACTCCAGCAGAAGCCTTATAAGGAACACAGTCTACACGCATATTTAATATCATAAGAGGATTAGCAAGAAAGAAGAGTTGTGCCCAAAGAGATGGCTAAGTGGTTAAGAGCGTGCACTGATATACAGAGGTCTAATGTTCTGTTCCCAGCACCCATATCGGGTGATGCTAAGCTACCTGTAACTCCAGCTCTAGGGAGATCTGTTGCTTCTAGTCTCCAAGGGCCCCTGCACTCACACATACATACCAACCTCCACACCCTATATAGACACATAATTTAAAAAATCTGTGAAAGTGAAAAAGCAGGAAATGGAGTCTAAGGCAGTATTTCCTTACTCTTATATGCAAAAGGCAAGGCATGCAAATTTTCTTGCAGACCTTCACAGTAAAAAGTATAGACATACTGAGACCAGCAAGTTGACAAGAATTTGAAGCAGAAATAAAAACCAAAATCTGCATGGATTCTATACTGAGAGCAAATGTCTAAGAAGACAAATTCCATCAGGGAGAACCAGGTGATGAGCCGGACCCTATGTACCCTGACAATCTGTCCCAAGCAAGAATCAACAAGGTTCCACAAGTGTACTGTTACTGCTTGACCTCATCCACCACTGCGTGAGATCAGACAGATCAAACCTCTGATCCTGAACTCTCCTCTCAATTCAGTGTTGGATAGCAGCAGCTGAAGCTGGGGAAACAGAAACTGTGATTATCTCCCAAAATCAAGAGAGCCACACCTGTGCGTGTTAAATAAGGCAGCTCCCAGGCCCCATGTCTAAACTCATCCCCCAGAAGGGCTTCTGAGGAAATGAGAGCAGTCGTAGAAAACAGAAATGCTTATTTTACACATGTGCCGAGTCTGAATTAATTGAACTCTACAATTCCTTTCGCTGAAAGCCAGGATTCGAAGTCAATTTGACTTCATATCAAGTGGGATAATTAACAAATGGCCCCAGAAACTGTGTCAGCCAACGAAGGCGCGAAGTGAAGTGCTTTCCCCCAGAGGCACAGACCTGACTTCTAGTCCAAAGGAGAATTAAAATTTCCATCCTCAAATTTCAAAGATTGTGATCTCTTGAATGTGATTAATGAACCATTAACAGACATATCTAATCCTTACTTGAGCTGATTGGTCACATACTAACAAATTAAAAAGAAAGGACTGGTTGTAGAAGCAAACATTACTAGAGGCCAGATCTGGGGATGGCTGTGTGTTTTATAACCTAGCTCCAGCTCAGGAAAATAAAGTCTGCCGGCTCAGAATTTATCATGACTGACTAAAGGGTTAAATAAGAAAACTTGACAAGAAAGACCTGGGCTACCTGTCTCAGTGAGCTCTGCAAGCTCCTGCTATTTCTAATGCACCCTCTCCTTTCTGTCAGCTAAAGGTGAAAGCCATTCCTGCAAAGTTTTCTAGGAGTCTTGAAAAATCTCAAAGGCCATGATGCAACGCTGATCCCCACTGAGTAACTACTTAAAGAAGTCAGGTGCTGGGGTGAGCAAGATACTGAGCACCGTTTCTGGCATTCTTTTGTTTACTCAAGGACTATTTTTCTCTGCATTGAAATAAGTGTCAGGTTGTGATGATGAATGATGAGACATAAAATAGCAGCATGATCAACTTCCCAATAACCTCCTGAGAACCGACAGACATAGAATCATCACTATACAGAAACATAATGACTATCTTGACACAGTACATGATACAGAAGAATATTTTTGATATCCATTCTTAAGCATTTTCTATTGGTTCTTCCCAACAGAGTACACACACACACACACACACACACACACACACACACACACACACAATGAGAGAGAGAGGAGAGAGGTTAACATTTCTGTTTTACTTCAACAAGATGATGTTGTCCTTGGTATTAAAAAGAAAAATAATAGGGTCAGAGAGATAATTTACTGAAGGGTAGCTCTTGCAGTGCAAACATGGGGGTGTGAGTTTGGATCCCAGCACCCACTTTAGTGGGTGACTTTTAAATCAGAGCCTGACCATGCATGCCTATAAGCCAAGTGTTGTGGGGTGCAGAAACAGGAGGATCACTGGAGTTTGCTGCCTGACAGCCTAAATCCAGGTCCAGTAAGAGATGCTGTCTCAAAGGAATGAGCCAGCGAAGCCAGAGATTGACAGAGAAGGACACCTCATGTAGTCTTTGCGTTTCTACCAACACACACAGGTGCACACATGCCATAGACAAATGCACACACATGCAGGTGCACACATGTCATAGACAAGTGCACACACACGCAGGTGCACACATGCCATAGACAAGTGCACACACGCCATAGACAAGTGCACACACATGCAGGTGCACACATGCCATAGACAAGTGTACCACATACACACACTCAAGAGAACACATAACTAAGAATGGTTCTGCAATTATATTTTTTGAAACTTGTTATTAATAGGTGCCACACAGAAGGTTCATAGGTGTTATTCATAAACTGGTTTTCCACAGAACCATATGTATTTACCCATAAGATCAGAATAACATTATTACTAAGCAGCATGCCATCAAAGTGTTCAAATATGTACCATTTACTTTAAATAGAATTAAATGCATAGCATTTTTGGATTCAAGGAATAATAATATGCTATTTACTTTGGCCTAGCACAATATCTCAAGTCATTTTCAATGACTCAACTGTGTTGTAATATTATTGTAATGTTACTGTTTATTAGAAGGTAGAAGGTATATACTGAAGAACACAGCCCTAAGCAACAAATGAGGAGATCCTCAAGAAACATTCTCTCTATAGTGGGTATGTATCCCATGAGTCACAAAACAAGCAGCAATTCTTGGTCTCATTATTGATACATT